GGGGGGGGGGAAGAGGATCAGAAACACATCAGATCCAGATGCTCGGGTTTGTTTGTAATCAGTGATCAGAAACAGGACATCTGACGAGGGTTTGTCTCTTTTCTTCAATTATTCTGCACATTTTACAAATGTTTTTTAGGTTGCATGTTAACAGGAAGTCTTGTGATCTCAGGTAGACATTAAACACGTCTGTTCAACAGTAAACAATTTGACTTACGGTACATTTATATTCCTTTTACCTCAGAAATGTAACCGTCTGTGACACACAAACACATATTAGCGGTTATTTATCTTCTATAACACGTCTTCTTTCAGACTATAGTCAAACAACCCGTCCTTAGAAGTTTATTTGAGACCCATGAGGATATTTTAAATCAATGTTTTTGCCTTTTTTTCAGTCATTATAAAGGATTTGTGTCATTGTATTTCAGAGAACCTACCCTCTCTTTCTGCTGCTGAGTTAAGCCGGACCTTTGTGTGATTATTCCAGACATGACCTTTAAAAACACACAGCTTTAGTGGTTTTAATGCATTTTAAGGCAGAAATGTGACTTTAACGAGCAGCTGAAGGGGTTGTTTCTGCTGACCTCTCGTGGTTGGATTTGTCAGGAAATACAAATACAGTCAAATATTACTCAATTATCTGCAGAACGCTTCAATATGAACTCCCGCAGGTCAGGATCGAGAAATCAGTTGAAAATGAGGAAAAACGTGATTTATGACGTGATTTTCAAAATAAAAGCATGCATTTAGCGTCACACACACACACACACACACACACACACACACACACACACACACACACACACACACACACACACACACACACACACACACAGGCTGGGGGGGGTTCACAGAGAGATTATTTACTGAATATATACAGCTTATTATTTACGATGATGTGTTTTCTCATTCTTAAATGGCCTGTGGTCCCAATTTGTGTAATTGGCATTCATCCAGAGCTCATAGAGGGCGAGCTGTCACATCATCCCGTCGGCCAATCAGAGGACAGAGCGAGCGGAGGGGGCGGGGCCTGGGAGCGCGATTAGACGGAGGGGAGCGCAATTTAAAACATAAACCATCAGGAGAGAGGAGAGACACAGTGGAGAAACAGAGAGGAAACAGAAGAGGAGAACCAGGAGGCAACAGAAGAGGAAATAGAGGAGAAACACAGAGGAGAAAAAACAGCGGAGGAAATAGAGGAGAACCAGGAGAACCAGGAGAACCAGGAGAACCAGGAGGAGTTCCTGTCGGTCAAAGAGTGGAAACTAACCCCGCGGATCACTTATTATCTGCTCCTAAATCACTTTTCTTTCCTCCTTTTGGTGACTGACTCTTTCTCCCCTCGCTGGTCCGATGGCTCGGTTTTATTTCCCCGGATTACCTCTCCTGTGAGCCCGTGTCTCTCCTCTATGAGTTCCAGTCCTTCCTTCATGGTGATGCAGCAGCGCGGAGGAAGCACCACCGCTTTCAGCATCGACTCTCTGATCGGGGGTCCTCCACAGCCCTCCCCGGGACCCTTCCTCTACACCGGATACCCCATGTTCATGCCATATCGATCTGTGGTGCTCCAGCCACCTCCCAGCCTGCAATCAGCTGGACATCACCCTCAAATCCCGGGTTTCTGCTCCAGCATGGCGCTCACTTCCACCCTAATGGGGTCTCTCCCTGGAGGTTTCTCCCCCGGAGCGCAGCAGCACCAGGAGGCCGTAATCAGGCAGCAGCAGCAGCACCAGGAGGCCGCGTTGAAGCTGTTCTCCTCCCCCGGACAACAGCACCAGGAGGCCGCCTTAAAGCTGTTCTCTTCCCCCGGACAACAGCACCAGGAGGCCGCCTTGAAGCTGTTCTCCTCCCCCGGACAACAGCACCAGGAGGCCGCCTTGAAGCTGTTCTCCTCCCCCGGACAACAGCACCAGGAGGCCGCCTGCAGGAAGTTCTTCGATAAGACCCAGGAGTTGAGGCTGGAGGAGGAGAAAAGCTTTCTTTCGGCGGGGAAAGAGGCTTCGGAGCCGGGGCAAATATCATCCACAGGTGAGGGGGGGATCCGGGGGTAATATGGCACTGATAATACCGAACAGTTTAACAAGAAATAGACACAATAATGCAGATTAAATTCAGGAGAAGTGAAGAAAAGTCCAAACATCTCCAAAGAATCTGACACAAAATAATGTATTTTTCTAATGTTGATTTACACACGATTAAGTTCAATAAATATGAATATGAAATGTCACTAAATCTTCATATTTTGTCTAAAAAACCCACTAATTTGTTGCTTTTTTAAAATTCTGCATACAGTCGCATTACAGCCCTTTTTATGGGGTGAAACACGGGGTAATACGGCACTGATAATATGGAAGATTAACAAAAAATAGACCCAATAATGCAGATTTAATTCAGGAGAAGTGACGAAAAGTCCCAAATCTCAAAAAAAATCGGACACAAAATAATGTGTTTTTTTCTGATGTTGATTTACACTCTATTTAGTTCAATGAATATACACATATGACATGTCACGAAATCTTCATATTCTGTCGAATTTGTTGCTTTTTCAAACTGTGCTCACCTGTTTCCACTAATGCGTAATTTGGGCTGAAACACGGGCTGAAACGGCACTGAAATATCACTTTCTCTTCAGAATTTGTCTCCCAAACTGTCCTTTTTTAAATGTTATTGTACGGGTTTCCACTGCTACGCAATTAAGGGACATTTAAACCCCAAACAATCGACGCTTTTTTCTAAATGATGCGTAAATTAGGAACATTTAGACGGATTTAAATGACATTATTTACCCTTTATCACAAAGTGCGGGGCAATACGGCACTGAGATATCCCTCAGATTTTCACTCAAAAACACGAGAAATGTTTTTTTTTAAATTTCTATTCCTCTCGTTTCCATTGAGGCTTAATTTGAAAACAGCTCTGCGTCACAACATGTTTTAAATGTGAGTTTAGTTGCATTTCAATGACATTATTTCACTCAAATCATCAAGATGTTACATTTCACTTTTAGAAACGGTGCAGATGATTTTTAAACCAGCAGCTTTTTATCAAAATGCACGAGTTATATTTGAAGATTTCACAAATGTTATCTCGTTGTTCACTAAAATATCGACCTTCCTTATATTTCCTCTGCTTTTAAATGCAGATCAGAAATAAGACATTTAAATGATAAATAAATGATCATAAATCACTCCATGCAGACAGGCACCCAAAGGCCTCCGAGGATTTATGGATCTGGCGTAAATCCACATTTCATCAGAAAAATGTTTATTATCTATGTTCTTAGATATATTTCTACTTTAAACTCCGCTGACAGCTGTGTGTTCCTATTGGCTGCTGATATTAAAGGTAATGTTTGTTATTGGTGCCTTTGGTTCGGCTCCGCGTATTTTCTCCCGTGCGTAATTACGCATGAAAACAGAAATCCCTCCGCGGTGACACACACACACACACACACACACACAAACACACACACAGATTCAATTGACCGACTGTCACAATAAAAGCATTTCCACTCATTTAAATAAAATAAAAAAGGACTTAATTTAATTATATTTCTGATAATTTCCTACTTTCTCAAATGATTTATGGGATGTATTCTCTGGGGCGTTTTCAGACAGCTTTAAGGAGACATTTAGGACACTTTTATTCAAATTATTCTATTTCAAAGAAGTAGATATGGGAACGGATAATTGTTTGATTTCATTTCTTACTTATTTAATTTAATAAAAACGAAAATGTGGAGATTTTTCAATAAAACAGCCGAGAGGCCGAAGTTAGGTAAAAATTATTAAAAACGGATTTGTTTTTATTGTTTTTGACTCCAAATCTTTTGTTTAGTGAAGCCAATTCATTTCAAATCTATTTACAGCAGATAATATTTAAAGTGTTTTAATGTAATACGTCCTCCTCCTGCAGAACATCTTTAAAAGCTTGGGACTTTGTTCAGAACAGCTGTGTTTATTACAGGTTTTCTAACTGTTTAAATGTGATGTGAGAACTATCATGAGGTGCTCTGCAGGAGGAAGCATCGTGTCCTCCTGCAGAGCACCTCAGAACAGCTGTGTTTATTGGAGTGCGAGTGTTTCTAATGCGGCGCGTCCTCCTTTAGGCCGAGGTCTGGGAGCAGAGGAGAAGGAGGACGACAGGAAGGAGGAGAGCTTCTCCATGGACAGCGACCTGGACTACAGCTCGGATGAGAACCCCCTGCAGAAGGAAGACGGCGGCGGTCTGGATGACGGACCCCTTCTGAACGGATGCTCCTCCTCGTCCTCTGGAAGCTCAGGAGGAAAGAACCGCCGCCGGAGAACAGCGTTCACCAGCGAGCAGCTGCTGGAGCTGGAGAAGGAGTTCCACTGCAAGAAGTACCTCTCTCTCACCGAGCGCTCGCAGATCGCCCACGCCCTGAAGCTCAGCGAGGTCCAGGTGAAGATCTGGTTCCAGAACCGCAGAGCCAAATGGAAACGAGTCAAAGCCGGGAACGTCAACAACAAATCCGGAGAACCCAACAGAAACCCAAAGATCGTGGTTCCCATCCCGGTTCACGTGAGCCGGTTCGCCATCAGGAGCCAGCACCAGCAGATGGAGCAGGCTCGACCGTGAGAGAGAGAGAGAGAGAGAGAGAGAGAGAAAGAGAGAGAGAGAGAAAGAGAGAGAGAGAGAAAGAGAGAGAGAGAAGGAAATTGTGCAAAAGTGTGGAGCATAACAAAAACAAGTGTGTTATGGTAGGAGGAGGAGGAGGAGAGAGAGGAGGGGGAGGAG